TCCTGATGCAACTCAGGAGATCAGATAACCAAAACATGAAGGCTATTTTAAATTGCCCAATGTGGATGAAGTTTGTTATCCATATTGAGTATCTAGACCTATTCAGATCCACTGAGCTCTCACCCTCTCAACTGCTATCTAGTTCACAGGTCAGCAGAACTCTAAGCTGTAGGGTGTTTTTATTTTTAAAAAGGATAAAAAGGCGTATGTCAAACTCATTCAAAGGTCAGCAAAACTCTTTGGGTATTTCCCTCTTACTTCTACAGAATGGATATGGTGCATCCCAATGCAGCCTTGATGCAAGATTTAGTGGTCTGTTTATGCTGTGTTTCAGAGTTTGTATGGGTTTTGTCTAAGTGGCTGCAAACCAGTGAATTTAATTCCAAATGAACTCTCGCTATTGTTTGCTTAGCTGAGAGACATTTGCTGAAAGTCTGGAAGAGTAAAGGGTGACAGTCTGCTCAAACTGTCTTTCCTTTTCAGCTGCAGAGAGAAAACATTGGGACACTACTATTTGCTTCTTTATATTTCTGATATCAGTAATGTCAAAAGATGCAGCTTCAAGGCAGCAAACTGGATATGTAAGCTTGGGACAGTAACGTGGGTTCAACAGTACCAATGCAAAGAATGCAATTAAGAGGGAACTTGATTTATGAAACGTAGACCGATTAAACCTGAAATACCCATACATGTAAGCAGGTATTTCAGTGCTATCATTATTCCTTGAAAGGATGGGTTAAGAACGTTTATTTTTTTTTAATTTGTTTTAAAGCCGCAAATCCATAGAATTCAAAGCTACATTCCTCTTCATGGTGCACTTGTTACTACAAACAATACCTGTCTTGTAAAGGGGTCTCTGTTGACAATGACGGGCCTGAATAAACACTCAGCTGGCACATAGGTTTCCATTAGCTCAAGTTTATATGCCTTGTCATGCTTCTCCAGCTGTCATTTGTCAATGTGCTTTGCACAAGATCCGCAAACACTATTCTCCCACAAACCTTCCCCTATTTCTTTCTTAAGAGGGAAAGAAGGACTAAAATAAGAGGTGGGTGGTGGGTAAAAGGACAGCATAATCACTTCTTCTGCAGGGCATGTAAGCTTTGCCTTCAAGAGGAGCTTCAGATCTTTTGTCCTCAGACCAAGAGCGCAGCCTGGCTGTGCAGCTGTCTCTGGCACAGCAGTCCTGGCATAAGACTGCACTCAGAGACTGCACAATGAAGCCAGAGCCCCAAAGTAAAACACAGCCAAGCTGAAGGGTTGTTTCAGTAGCACTTAACTGGCCACAGAGCCTTGGTGCTACCGACAGATCTGCAAGCCAAGCGGTTGTCAGAAATCATCTGTTTTCAGCTTTCGCTGACCTTAAAGATATAAGGAAATTTCTTTGCTCATGCTGGGCCACTGGGTGCTTGTGCATATTCCTCATAGGGACAGGCTGATTCAAAGGCTGGGCACATCAAGCAACTTTCAGTATACACAAATAGCATGTACATGGAAACCATACAAACAAAAAATGCAAAATATTTAAGGATTTTGGCATAAACCCCACACCTAAATACAATATGGTCCCCTCAGCGGCATGTTCATAAGCATGCTCCAGAGGCTGAAGCTCATGCAAAGCAAACCTCTAGCTCAGGCTGTGGGCTTGTGATCAATATTGCACGAGGAGTCGTAGGACTCTTTGCCATTGCTCCCCCCACAACAAATGCTGCCCTCGGCTCAGTCTGGTTCCAGTTTAGAAAGCAGCAATATTTGGTGAGTCAAAGTGACCTCAACTTCATTGAAACTCTCTGCTTGCTATTAAACAGCCAGCAGGGATTTACAGGAATAGCAGGAACCAGATGGGAAAGCACCAGGACTGGGGACAGTGAAGCTACAGATCCAAAGGTCATTACTGCTCCATAGGGAATGTCTGAGCCACATGTGTGCTAGTCCAGCCCCTGGGCTAAATAGTGGCCGCAGAGCTCGGCGCCCTGGGGAGAAAATCCACTTTACTTCCCAGATTACAGGCGGCTCCAGCCCTCCCCTGGCTACATCTGCTGTGATGGGCATTTAACCAGCAAAAGCACCTGGAAGTCAGGCTGTGCATGTTTGTTTTTATGAGGAGGGGTGAGGGGTTAAGCAGCAAAGCAGAGATGGAAAAGCAGATGACAAGCCAATTCTGTGGCCCCATCCCACTCTCCTGGTGCCTGTCTGGCAGTGAGAGCTGCCACCTCCCCACAAAGCCCAGGCAGCTGCTCACCCACAGGTCCCAGTCCCTCCAAGCTGCCCACAAGATGTATGTCAGGGCCAGGGAAAGGGCACAGCAGCAGTGGTCACCCTGGCAGAATGGCTTTTTAGAAAGGATGGGAAAATCAGACTGTTAATTTGCACTGCTGCTTTCTTTGCTGTTAAGTAGGGCAGATTTGGGCATTTTCCAGGGGAACATTTTCCAAGTGGTCCCACTGCCAAACGTCTATTACACAAGTAAGACCAAGCACCAGGCAGACAGCACAGGGATGGGTTTCACACCTTGCTGCCCCAGGGGCTGAAGCTGTGGACCACTTTGTCCACAAGCCCAGGGCCTCCCACCACCTGCTGTTACCCAGCCACCACATGCCACCCCCAGCTCCCAGTGCTCCACTCAAGCCAGCATGAGGGGGACCAGCAGATGGATTTATCTGTACAAACAGGTTACACTCTTTTGCAATGATGTCACCTGACTACAACAGTGGCCGTTAAAACAACACCGAAAGCTGTTTCCATACTTTCTTGCTGCCTTTCCTTCTCCACCACCAGTTATCCTCTCTGCCAAAGCATACATCCAAATGTGTGCAAATGATGAAACAGCTGGCGCCCGGCAAAGAGCTAGCCCTCAAGGGCAAACTGACCCTGATAAGGAATGCTGGGAAATCCCAAGATATATCTTAGAAAGTAGCCTTGAAGCAGGATTTGGTGCCACAGCCTCTGTTGATCCTTAGATGTTATAGCCCATTCGAGCAGGATGAGTATCAGCACAGGGGGTGGCAGACCTTTGTCATGCAGCAGGAATGTTAACATCCTCCAGATTTAAACGGCGCCATCTGAAGAGCAGTTAATGTTCTGAACTTAATTTTTCATGTGTACATCATGAGGTCCTAATAAAAATGTTGAAGAACTGTCTTTGTTGTCCTCTGATCCCAACAGGACGCCCTTCTCCCATGGCATTTCTCATCATTGTTGTTGTCTGTAGACACCAAGGTTGTTGTTAAGGTTATGGTACCAGCTTCACCAAGTGAAAAGCATATTTTAAAATGAGGAAAAAGAAAAAGAAAAAGACAGAACAAAACCCAAAAACAAAACCAGAGAGAAGACTGGGGGGAGGAAAGGGGGGGAGAACCAGAAATGTGCCAGGAAGCAGTATAAAAAGAAGCAAGGACTTTTGATGTTTTTTTTCCCTCCTCCTTCATTCTTGGGTGAATTATAGGGCGTAGCATAGTATTTTCAAAGCATCTCTTACAAACTTTATTTAGTTCAGTGATTCACATTTCCCGAGCAAGGTTAACCAAAGGGAGGAATGTTTCTCCCCTTGCCCCAGGCTGTTCCCCAACTTTCAGCTAAACTGTATCACATTGTTAAAAATAATTGTCAGAAAGGAACCTTTCCTGAACTCCTCCAAAGGCATTGTTTTTCCCAACAATGCGCAGGACGGTTCATTACTCATTCATTTTACAGATTGATTTTAAAGTACCTCACACAATAAGAAGCCTCAAACTTGGATAAAACAGATGCACATAGTTAAGACTGAGAACTTCACGGTCATTGCCCACCAGAGCTTATCATCTTATTCCTAACGCAGAACCCCAGTGTCAAAAAGCAAAAAGTTATGCATATAGTTAGTTGACTTTCTCCTAGACAAAGTTTAGAGCTCCCGGGTAAAAACTGGAGCTGAGATCAGAAGTGCAAAAGACGATACCAGAGCTTATCTGGGACTTCTAGGCATACACGTAACACCGCCTGAATCTACATGCTCCAGCAGCCCACCTGAACGGCATAGGCTGCAAAGCTGATGCTGTGCTTGGGAAACACCTCCCTGTGACCACCAGGACCATAAAAGTGCCAGAGCACTGAACCCTCACATCAGCTGGCAGGATTTATTTCTTCTATTTCCCATGTAATGCCTTACACTGCACTTTCTGTACAGTACTTGCTGCTGGACTCCCAGCTCATGATCCCAGCTGACGCCAGAATTCTCGCAAGAGGGCTTGCAACCATTGACTTCATCAGTTCAGTCCAGCCTCTGCCCTTTTCACCCCTTCTGGCTACACATTAGAGGGAACAGCAGCAGCTGTAACAGGGCTGTGAACAGGAGAGTGAATATATGGAGGAACAGGAACAGGAGCAGACTGATCCAGGAGACTGAACATATGTATAGAAGTTTTGGGAAGCCAGAAACTCAGTTAAAGCAACAAAAAGCTGAGCGCGTAGGGCATGACAAGGAAAGCAGTCAAGTCAATAACAGAAAACGGTTTGAGAAATCCAGTCTCCTTTAAAGGATATCTAAATACTCTAAAAAAAAAAAAAAAACCAAAACAAAAAAAAAAAAAATAGTAACATCAGCATAGGAAAAAAATTTTACCCTTTCCTGCTTCCTTTTCACTGACTCAAAGAGAAGCTTCTGCTGTCTTCACAAGAAACAACTATAAGGTCAGATTTGTTTGAAGGGAGAGGAGAGCCTCTGGTTTCTTTCCAAAAAGCCATCTATTTTGGATTCACAAAAGGTCAGGAAGAATAAATTGCAATGGATACTCTTCCTGTGTAGCCGAAGATATTTCCAAGCAGAAACATGACGTTGTAAAGAAATAAACAAGTAAGTATAAGGAGGCTGAAGAGAACCCCAACCCGCAAACATTTCTGACTGCAGAATGGTATCACTCTCACATACGCTCATGGATTAAAATTACTTTTAATTGAGGGTTGAGGGGGAAAGGGCAGAAATGGTAGCTGTGACTTAGATAAGCATAGAGGCTTACTTTTGGGAGATAGTTACACATCAGAAGAAACATCCCAGCACTGAATGAAACCCTGAGAGCATAGCTTAGTCTTGATCATCTGTTGCAATTTGTTATACAACAAAGGAAATTTTCATCATCCATAAAACCCATAACTTTTCTGGAAAATGCTGAATGCACACAGTAATCTGTGCAGTCTGCTGCCTAGGGTAAATGACGTTTATTTAGGTCCTTCACACCTGATCTGCATGCTCTAACAGCAACATGTTTTGTTGTCTGGATGCTTTCATTCCCACATGGCTTCCTTCAAGTAGGTACATGTAGCTCCATTTCACCAAGTGATGGAGAAAAAAGCGAAGGATACCTGGGGGACACTGCTTAGATTGTAAACCAGAAATATTAGGCTTCTTTTTGTAGGCTTAATCCGCTACTCGTTGTTTAGAATATTCTGCAGCCAACAAAAATTAATGTGACACACAGTACTACAAAGGGCAAGTAATACTGGATAGACTTATATTATTGCCTACTGCTACCCCTAGTACTAAGCCAGCCTACCAGGACCTGGAAACAGCATTGCTGTGTCTCCAGAGAACATTGTCTATTTACTTGTGCCTAACATTGAGCTGTTTTTTGATTTGGGCCAACACAGTCTCTAAAAAGCCCTGGAAGATCCTACATTTATGGGGGATGTCTACTGGGTGCCTGAAAAGTGGTCTGTGTCCAAAGAGGCCAAAGCCCCCCTGATACAAGTGCTGGGAAATGGAAACAGGCTTTCTAGTTTATCCTTACACAGATCTCAACACCAGGCATCATGGTCACAGAGCTGTAATTTCCTTCATCCTAGTGCCATACCAAAGCAATAACAACTGTCTTGAGTTTCTAGGTAATAAGTTTGCACTTTTCTCTAATTGCCATGATCACTGACAGTTTATGTTAATCAAGTGACACCAACATAAAGTGATGGGCTGCCAGACTAGAAAGCATTTTACCCCCAGCTGTTTCTGACATGTTTGTGTGCACAGCTCAGTTTACCATTAAGAAGGACAAATAATGAGCCATCTCCAATTTGAGGCTGGATCCTTTGAGTAATAAATTGAAAGCCAATGTTTAAACAAAGAGACACAATGACAAATTCAGCTTGACACTCACCAGAAAAAGAGTCATTAGACAGCAGAGGCCAGACAATCTTAATCTTCCTCCTAGGAGCTTTCTGCTGTACTTTAATGAGTATTGAGGGTATCATTCATCTTTGCTCGCCTCAGCTCCCATCAATATAAGGGTCTGAAGAACTCAGGCCATTTACTGGATATAGGTGCATAATGGCTCTACACATGCCTTTTTTTCCCTTGCCAACCACCACACAGACATGCAGCCTGGGATACAGCCCACCAAGCTGCATCAAAGGATGCATTTTGCACACCAGATCCCAGTGTAGGGAAAAGGCTGTGGCACTGCACCAAAACCTGGGGGACAGGATGTGTACTTCAGATCTCTAGTGGAGCCCTTCCATCTCCAATTCACAGGAATCAGCATGATCTAAGGGCTATGGCATCCCAGACCACCACAGGCTCCTCCACCATCGTTTGGGAATGACGGATGTGAAATACCACTGAAGGTTTTCATAAAGCCATCTTGGTTTCTCTACTCACCATAATCCTGGGGCATAATCCTAAAGAATGGAATAGGATTTCAGTGGGTAGTATAATGTTGCCACATGTTTTTTCCTATTGATTTGTAGATAAACTATTAGCATCTGAACTGCTAAATGCTTGGGTACAAATATAATCCTTCACTTTGAAGACTACTTCCTATTTTCTCCACCCCCTGAAGCTTTCTGTCAACACTGATAACTCCCATCTAGGACAGGAAAGCATTAAAAGTGTTTCCACTTAATGGCAATCGTATTATTTTTTAAGAGCTTGTAAAACCCGAACAGCTCTTTTTCCATTACACTCTCCCAGCAAAAGCCAGGAATGTTTCCAGATAGACAAGAAAGAACAGTTATACCCTATGGAAAAAAGTATTTGAAAGGTGGACTCCCCCTAAAGAGAATTCAAAAGCAGATGATGGTTGCATAGAGAAAACAGGGAAACAAAACAAATTAATAATATATATTCTCCTAGAGTTATGGTTCTGCTGCAAAAAATGCAGAAGAGGGTGGGAATTCACAGTGTGTCAACTTAATGGAGTCACACTGATGGAGTAAATGCCTGGTGCGTAACTGAAGGTCTTATTTTAGGATATATTCAGAAGCTTCTTGCTGTCCTAACGTGTAGTTCTTACAGCTTTCCCTTTTCTCCTCTATACTTCAAACTAGGAACCTACAGTCAGCTGCCAGAGTGAATGGAAAACACTTACTCATTCCAGAGCGCGCAGCTGTATGCAAATATTCCTGTTAAAATCCCACTCTCAAATGTAACCTCTCAGCAGTCCTACATGCCAATACATTCAGTCCATTCTAAACTGAAAAAACTAATGAGAAAATGCTCCCACAAGCTGTGTCTGACCCTGAAGTAGGAGAGCTCGGTTAACCACATGAACCTTTAATTTGTAAATGCAGAATCCTCCCTGCCAGATGCTGTTGCTTCCGACAAAACTCATCCTCAAAAGCAGCAAGCATACGCAGCACTGGTGTGCTGCAGGGGCAGGTGACCAGGTTGGTGTTTTACATATTTAAAAAGAAAAGGTTTGGGTTTTTGGTTTTTTTTTTAAATCTTTAGGCATTTTCAGAGCAATAGATGCACAGATTGAGCAATTCCTATTAGGACAATTGCACCTACAACTGTTTGGGTTTTTGTCAGCCTGCCTCACTGCAACACAGCTACAAAGTTCATTCATAGGAACAGGTGAGCAGACAAACCTTGACACTTTTTGGTGAGGAATTCAGGCATATATTTAATTGCAGCTTGTTCTGACTGTTCAGGTGCAGAACAAAAGCATGAGCTGAAGTGCCTTGCATAACTCGGCCACAGAGCACTGTAACAAGCATTATGGGAGCTCAAAGACAAAAGTTCAAATTAAGGTTTTAATTTTAAAAGCCTAACCAGAGATTCGTTTGATGAGAAAATGAGGGCTGCCATGCCTAAATGAGCACATCTGTTCAACTTTATTTTTAACAGGACAAAGGCCCTTTTCTCTGAGGCCAAGATACTACGTCTTTAATCTTTTTCCATATTTCTCATGCTTATCGCATACAGGCTATGGTGTATCGTAAAGATGTCTTTATCACTTTTTCTTTTTGATTAAAGGTTCTGAATGATGCTAGCCAATATCAATAAAAATAATATTATCATCATACAGAACCTTGCAGGGAACACAGCGTTACTTTCACTAGTCCCTCTCACACAGATCATCCAGCATGCTCAGGAAAAAAAACATGAAGAGCAAGGCTTTTCCACTACATTATGTTTGGAGTACCATTCATCTTAGAATGAAAGCCTGGGTGATCTTTGTTTTACATTAATCACACAGTTAAATTGTTCAGATATTAGGCAGGCAGGTTGGGGGATGAGGGAGGGGGAGGAGAGAAAGAGGGGAAAAAAAATATTGGCTCAGAACTTCATCCCAAACAGAAACCAAATGTTAGCCACTTTTGAAGTACTGTAAACTTTTATAATGTTTGAGTCAAAGGGAGCAGAGAAAGAAATTAATCTTACCATTCAATGATCATCAAACGAAAAATCAGCCCAACAGGTAAGCATATATAAATAGAAATATACATTACGGTTGAGATATATCATCCGTGTGAAAGGTGAGTCTATAGCTAACCAAAAAAATTCCCATAAAAGGCATTAATTGCCAAACAGCCAAGTTATTACAGGCAATTGGAATGTATATGGGACACAATGATAATAAGGACATTTTCTTGTCCTAAAATAATTTCCCACAATTGTTATTTCCTTTAATAGTGCTCAGAAGGATTACAAAATCCTAGTTTCATGTCATTCTACAACAGACTAATGTTTTCCCATAAATTATAGCAGATTTCAAGGGAAAACAATTAATGGTAACAGAATCAAAGACATATGAAAGCTTTCTGATTTAAAGTGATATTGCACATTTTAAAATAGCTGGTTTTAATCAGCTTATTCCTAAGGCCATTAAAGGTACTTATTGAAGGTACATTTCCACACACATTGTAGAGAACCTGTGCATTCAAGAAGGTTATAAAATTGTAATTAACAGCGCAATTGTTTGTAAATTGGCTGGACACTCAGTAAAAGAAGATTCTGTAAACAGTCCAAAGGTGACATAACGTGTCCTTCACTCTCATGAGCAACTGCTGGAGAAAAAACACACTATAACAATATTCTTAATAAAAACATCCCCAGCACATGTGAACCATCAGTCCAAAACCATGTCTCAGCTATGGAAGGTGAGCCTTCATCTTTGTGTGAGAATTTTCCTTTCACTAACTTACCCTAATATCTCAGTTTCAACCTTATTAATGCCCTTCACGCAGGTAACAACCAATAAAAGGACTTTGTTCAATATTTTGGCCTGTCAGTTTTACGCACATCCTGAAGTAACTAAAATTAATTTGTGCATGTACATGTCTAGACAGATGACTAAATAAAATGTCCTTGAGTTCATAAAATGTTACAGATTGTTCCTCTATAGAGATTAAAGAAAAAAAGAAAAGATAAAAAGTATAAAGTCAAACAAAAGCCAAGAATTATTCTGATTATGAACACGTTTGAGCAAGACAGAATGAGGCATTTGACCTGCTTTTTTGATCACTTGCTTTCACAAAATATTTCAACCAGGGACCCGAGATGCACACACTGTTGATTTTTTGAGCAGTTACAAATCAAAACATGTGTGAAGCTGAAGCGCAATCAGTTGTGTTGAGGTTAATAAAATGTCCTGGACTGGAATCCCTTCAACATATCTGGTTTGAAGACTTCTGTACATATGTTTGCTTCAACCCTTTTGTGTGACTGACAATGAGCTACAATGCAGAATTCTTCCTTTTACCTCATGATTATTCCTTTAGACACTTCCTGTCCGACACCCTGAAAACCAAACAAGTAGAGTTCATCATCTTCTTGCAAGTGTCCATAGGGCTATGCTTTGGCACCTGCCAAAAGGTTGATTACAAAACTATAGATTTAGATTTCCCAGTTAAATTTTTCACAGTTAACTTTCACGTGGGCAGCAGAAGTGAGCACAACCAGAAGATCTCTCTCTCCAGAGCAATGTTTATTCTGTTTCAGATCCAGCCCAGACCATTCACGGAGGCCCTGGGGTTAGCACAGGGAGTATCCTTATGCTTTTACAACCTCTCTGCCATGAAAGATGAGGAATTCCTCCTTTAACAAGGAAGAGTTGCTTGATTTATAGCCTCTGAAGATACCTTCATGTTAAAGATGTACTTGCAGCTCCAGACAGAAATGAGCTGTTTGGAGCAAGGGGTCAACTTTCTTCAAGAAAGAGACCTGAAGATCTCACAGATCAGATCCACTCCTTATATTTTGAAGGCATGTGTCTCTTAAGAAGCTGACAGACTCTGTAGGTTTTTGGGTGCTCCTAAACATAGAAATAGGAAGTGGTCTCATATTCAGCTGGCCAAGAGGCTTCAGAGAACTGAGATTTCTTCTCAGCTTTGCATCATGAGGTAGACCTTCATCAGTTCTAACTGAAGGATTTCTGTGCTCCAGATACCATGGTATGCTTTTATAAAGAACAAGACGACGCTTCAGAACTTCAGCAGAAGCATCTCTTCCTCCCCAGTAAACATGGCTCTTTGAGAGTCTGTCATTTGAGTGCTGCATGTCCCAGCTGGGCTCCTCACTCGGGACAGTGCCCCCTGTACAGCCTGATTTTCTGATATGAGGGAAGAGAGTAGCTTGAATAGCTGAAGGGGACTTATGGACTGACCATGGGGGATAAATTAAATGAAGAGGGAGGCAAGCAGCTGCAAGAGCCTCTATGTAGATCCTTAGGACTGGGATACTCAGCACTGATGGGGGAAAGGCTCTGGCAGTGAGAAACTCCCTACTGTCAGAAATCAGAGAGTAACCCAAACATGTCATAAGTAGGGCGATGCAATTCCACCCCCCCCCCCCCCCCCCCCCCCCCCCCCCGTGTGCATGAATTTTGGCTAACCCCCTGTGATCTGCTGCAGTAGCCCTGCACAGGCTGTTTACCATATCTGTGCCCCAGTTCACCCTTTTGCTAAACCAGGATAAAATTACTTGCTTACCAATTGCCACAGGAAAGCAGCATCCTAGAAAAATACCAAGATAGGCTTAACCAAGCTTATAAATTACTTTGATATTCCCAGATGAAAGTTCTCTGTAAGTATAAAGTTTTATTATTATTTCAGCTGTTCCCTTTCATAGTACGATTGCCAAAAATAGGCTTTAGAAAAGCCTCAGATTAACCAGAATGCTTTTCTTGTTAATGACTAGCAAAACATCATACTTCTCACATATGAGACACAAGCATTTGATTTCAGTTTAGTGCACCAGCATTTAAGAATGAAAGTAAGTAGTGCTCCATGTCTTGCTCAAACCTGACATAACTTTCTCTCTTAGGAAATATGCTTAGGGACAGTCAGGCTGTGCTTGTTTGCAACTTACAGAATTTCAAATATAATTTATAGAGAGACTAACCTGAGGTCAATGATTATTACCATCTTGAAGAAGTGATTGTAAACCGGGAATAGCTCCCGCTTTAATCATTTCATTTGCTCTACAAAGAAAATAGAAATAGTTTGTAGTGAAAAATGTGTCTTCCAGTGTAAGCATCCAACGTCAAAAGAAATGGTAAGATTAAAAATGATAGCTTTCAGCTGTTGCTCAGTAAGTAGTCAATGTTTCTTCTCTTGTGGAAAGCTGATACTCCCTCTTCAGGGGAATTTAAATGGACAAATTCAGAATGGGAGAGTACAAGACACTTAATGAGACTGCAGCCAGCCCTCTGATTCTCTCTGTAGGAGATGTTTAACATCTTGTTCTCTACCCACAACTGCCACATGTGGGTTGTGCCTGAAGTGGCCATCGTTAATCTATGCTGGAACATGCCATGGGTAAGATTGGTGAAAGGACTTGATTAGATGTATATAGAATGGACTTATCCCAACACCATAGCTAAAATGCAAGGTAAACCAAGAAGGATCAACCAATCTTTAATAAAAAGCAGGAGGAGGAAATTCAGAATAACTTTTGCCATTCTGCCTGGAGAATATCCATGAGCTGTGGTTAGAAACAGAAGAGTTAGGCAACAATTTACTACTGTTTTTCAAAACCACATCAGATGGAAAATCCAGAACTACAGAAATGCTGGGGTCAGTCCTGAACTTCAATATGCCCATATTGGATTAATGCAAATAAGTCTATAGATAGCAGAGCAAAATTTCCTACATATTTTTATAACATGTGATGTGTAAACACCTGAAAAGAACCAAAAAAGGGGAGGTTGCCATTTTCTATTTTGGTTAGGAGAATGGGATTTCTAACACAAAGGCCTTCCTCTGCTTTGAAATGGAGGAGGTGTTTAGTGTGGTGACCTTTCAGTACATTCTCTGCTTGGCTGGTTGGCAACACTATCACTTTCCCACAGTTTAACAAAGCCATTTAAGGGCCAAATTCTAATCTCAGTTGCACTCAGTCTGCACTCTTCCCTTCCCCATCCCATGGGACTGGAAAGAAGATCTGCAATGTACCCAGCTGAGACTGAGGCCAGCTCAACACTGGATATAAGGACCCACACTGGGGTTAGTCAGAGTCCAGACTTAAGACAGCAAAACATGAAACATCCTTCCACCCCTCCTGCTGTCACCGGAGCTTGGGTCGTTTCTTGTAATACAGCGACTCATCAGCAAGCAGCCTGCTCAAAAATACCACGCATGTATTGGGTGCTAAAAGCATCCACTGATTGCAGGATCGGTTGGTTGGCTTTCTTTAAACTATCTCTCATATTGCCTAAACACAAGATACAGACCACAAGCAGCATTGTGTGTTCATGTCTGGTTAGAGCTACCTGCTTATAAAGGATACTTGTTTTGTTGCTGGAGATCAGCATTCGAGATGCACCAGCACATCATGGTTTTCTGTTTGTTGTCAGATCTGGCCTAGCTAAATATGTTGCTCAGTGTGTGATGCAGACAAGTAGCAGCATGTTGGGAAAGGCACCCCGTCTCAAGGAACAGCGCTCTGACCCTGCTCTTCACCATCCCAGAAATGGATTGTGCTGCTCAGGAGGAGAATTGCCAAAGCTCAGATGAGCTGCAGGGGCTGTTAGAAGGGATGGGGCTCTCCTTGTCCAGCTCCTTCAGGGGTTAAGGGCAAAGGCTGGGAAAACTCCCCTACTCCCATGCATGAAAACTGCAGAAGACTTAAGGATGTAACGCGGAGTATTACTGCCCCATGCCTCAGTGTTATGAATAGTCTTAGGGCTATTATATAAATAAATATAAAGCACACTGGCCATGTGCTTGAACATACGAAAAGATCAAAAAAAGCAGTCAACATTCACATTAGTAGCATTCAATGTGGCACTTTTGTGAGGTGTTTTTTACTGCTGCACTATGGAAAGACTGGATATTCTGGAGGTTCAGTCCCCTGGGTCGCACTGTGTGGTGTGTCCCTAGAGCACTGCTGGGCACATCAGAGATGCAGTGCCATTGGCTTGAAAGGGTCAACAGGCCAGGATCTGGCCTGCTGACAGGTTGTGGGTGTGTTGAAAACAGTGCCTTCAAAGCAAGAACCCCCCCAGCCAGCTGCAAGTCAGAGGGAGGAGAGATGCAAAGATGGGAAGTTCATGGCTCACATCCCGATATCAGTTCTGTTGATCACTAAGTATCATCTTTCACTGAAATCATCTGGACTACCTCACATGTCCACTAACAGGAAAAAATAATAAATGAGGTTCTCTCACAGGATACGTTTCTACTTCAGTTTAGTTATTCTGTCACATTGATGCATATTATATGGCCTTAACCAGTGGAAAAAGAAGCACTGCTTTCTGAAGGAGGCTGTAGTTGTGTACTCTTCTTCCCTTTTGTCCTCAGTCACATTCTCAGTCTTCATACACAAAGTTGAGAACACACTTTCTTTAGAAAGTACTGTGAAGCTCTGCAGGGAAACTGAACGCCAGCAGCTTGACCTGCAATTGCATTTGTCTGGAAGACTCAAAACAAATGTTGTAACTAAATTATTTATTTATCTCCAGGAATCTGTTTAGGCTCAAACACCTGCAGCCCAGCTGACTGATGCCATGCTGCTCCCCCTAGGAACTCATGATGGGATGGCATTGCCCACACAGAGCTCTGCAGCCCCTGCTCCAGCAGCTGTCACACCCACACTTTGCCCTTTGCTGCTAAAAAACAGTCTGAAGCCAGCCCCTTCACACTCATCTTTTCAAACACATCCACTGCCTTTCCATTTTATATGCAGTATAAAGATGTTCCTTGTGCCAGATTCTGCCAGCTTCACATGAACTAAGCAGAAAATGACCTCATGAGTAATCTACAGATTGCAGCTGGGTTATCTGCAGAACAAGGAACAGATTTTAAGGGAATCCCTCTGGGAAAGAGGTGTTTTAGTTACTTCTGATGCACAAACCAAGGGATGTGCACAGTGTGAATGATGGTATCACAGTCTGGCTGCAGTGGCTAAATAAAACTAAAATTGAACATTTTACACCATAAAAAAGCCTCTGCTATTAGTAAACAAGCATCTTGATTGAGCTGGTGGGATACAGCACTAAGATGCAGAGATCTCCAGTCTGTAAGTTTGCATGCCAAGGCTGTCTTCTAAAAGACATGAAGTAGTTCCCCAAACCCTCACATCTCACCTGTAGCTGAATGCAACACGTACAATTCTCACAGTGTCACCAGTAAAAACCCTGCTTTGAGACAAGGACAAATGGAAGGAATAAGGAAAAAAGAAAAAAAAAAGCAAAGCCTAGCACATTTTTTGGTTTGGTATCACCATATCATGATATTGCATTTCCACCCTGTCCTGGGTTCAGCAGTAGCAGTCATTTTTCTCTTTCGTGGTTGCTGTGTTTTGACTTCCAGCCTGGGAACAGTGCTGGTGATACCGACGTTTTCGGTTGTGGCTAAGTGATGTTTACCCTGACCAAGGACTTTGTGAGGCTCATGCTCTGCCAGGGAGGAGGGGAAGCTGGGAGGAAGCAGAGACGGGGCGCCTGACCCGGGCTAGCCAGGGAGGTATTCCATACCACAGCACGTCATGCCCGGGGTGGGGGGTAACTGGGGTTACCCGGAAGGACACGGGCTTCCAGGTGGGACTCGTTTCTTGGCCGGTGGTATTGTATTCTCTTCCCTTGTTGTTTTCTCTTATCATTGTTGTCGTTGGTGGTAGCGGTGGTGATTTGTGTTGTACATTGGTTGCTGGACTGTTCTTGTCTCAACCCGTGGGAGTTGCACTCTTTCGATCCTCCTCCCCATTGCTCCGGGAGTGGGGAAGGGGAGAGCCCCGGGGGGGGGGGCCTCGATTGCTCTCAGCCCAGCACCACTCACTAGGAGTGAGTGAACAAGTTGTCTGGCTAGGGTTTAAACCATGACACATCCCAACACACTTAGGCAAGGTGATGGGGTAACTCCAAGTAGCTTCTGAAGCCGTGTTCAAACTGCCTCTGGACTCCTATTAGTAACAGGAAGGGTCACAACTTCTGGCCTCTGAAGTATGGAGGCATTTTAAGTGACACCCATCGCATTTTGGCTCAGATACAAGCAGCTATGTTAACCAGAGAACAACCTAGACTTGTTTTTACCCAAAAGCAACATCCAAGTTTACTTGGTTTGAATGGTATTACTGAGGACACTAAGAAAGTTAATCATTCTACAGTTAAGAAGTTATGCAGCATCTTTTTAATATCCCAATTTGTACACAAATCTCACTGTACTGAGTGATCAGGAAAAAAACAAACACAGAACATGGGACTCAGACCCCACTGAGTGCTTCGAGCTAACTACAGAAAAACACAGCAGGCTGCAGATTTCTTTGGGAAAAGTCAGGAAGTTTGTTAGTTTTATAAAAGGCAGTACTGAAGAAAGGAACAGCAGCACTGTGAGAGAAACAAATGGTATCCTGTCACTAATGGCTGAGCAAAGGGGATGGACGTGTTGGCATTCAGAAGAGATCTGATGCATACAGTATGCCTGCATAGCAGCAGCCCTGAAATGTAGGGAGTGGACATTTTAGATGAAGCAGAGGAAGAGGCAGTGGGAAGATGATTTTAACTGTGCTCCAAGCAGTAATTGGACATCCCACTCATCTTAGTCATACATTACCCAGAAGAGGAATTAAGAACTATTTAAGAGTAAGTAGAAAGTAACAGCCATCCAGAAGAGTGTGATCCTATTGCCTGAAGGCAGGGGCTCAGCATTCAGCAGGTGTATATCTGCCTTCAATAAATTTAATTGTTTCAGTGAGTTTCACCACAGTAAGATTATGGCTGCACACCTCTATGTATAGTGACCATAGATATTTTATTCCTCCCATCCCGTTCCCAGTAAGAGGCAGAACCAGTCTGCTGCTTCTCTTCACAAGTTCCTTGAACCCTACAGCTGCCTGAAAGACAAACCTGAAAAGCACAGAAGTTAGTAATTGCTCCATCATCAAGCATCAGGTCCTCCAGAAGCTTCCTGACCCCAAACTTGCTCTTTCTCCCTATTCCAAGTGCTGAGCACCTGAATCACTGATGCCAGGTACCTGACCAAACTACAGGAAATCCGAACATAACCAGCAGTCCTGTGAGCCACAGCAGAGCTGGGTTTTATGGCAGTTATAGCCAGTTTTGCTTTGGCTGTGTATCTCTGGCAGCAATCTGCCTAGGTGTCTGACACATAGGTATAACTCTTGAAAAGTGAATTCAATGAGTACTTGTGGTCCTCAGTTTATTAGGAAACTTCTGGGACAAAATTAACAAGAAAGTCTGAGGATGAGGTATTCAAGGACCTAAATTATTTTACAAATACCATTTCTTAAAATGCAAGTCTTCAATCACATTGACTTTTGGTGAAACAACCTTGTGAATACCTGCATTACTTTGGAATAGACAATTTTTTTGTTTTAAAACTGGGATCTGCTCAGGGGCATTATGTGAACATCAAAATCTATTCAACAAGTTAGACTTTGTTTCAGGAAGTGATCTGCTTACCCATGAAAAACAGGAGAGAGGAAACAGAAGCAGTATAGGATTGGTCAGCCTATTGTGAGTGTTAAAATCTTCATTTCTGCAGATGGTGTTTTGGACTGAATTGGCTCTCCCAGTTTTCTGGAATCATATACTTAGAGACAGACTGATCTGTTTACACTTATGTGACCCAGCTGGAAGCAGGTGAGAAAACTCAGCCTGAAGTAAAACCAGAAAGGTATGAAACACTCAAACTGTGCTAAGTAGGGCTGTGGCTTACAGGATTTTAGCATGGCTGTAATGTAGAAACATGTTGATCCGTTCAGTAAGTTTAATTACATCTTAGGATCTATTAACATGCCGCCGTGCTGGACACATAGGCTTGGAAATCCTGCACTTAAGTGATGCCACAGCAGGATACTTTACCAGCAGTAGCAGCCAGCCCCACCTTTGCACTCCCTTACCTCTATAATGCCACAGAGCTGAGCCTAACCACCTGCTCCTGGGCCAAAATCTCTGCTCAGCCCCATTTCAGCATCCCAAGCCAAAGTGGCATTGGAGAGCAATGGTTGCTCATCTACATGCAGGTCACGGCAGCTTTTGAACAGGATAATGCACCCATACAACCACAAATCTTATCTTGGAGCAGGAAAGCTGCTGGGGGCTGCCACACAGGACGAAGCTCTTCACATACTGATTTGTGTGAACACAGACCTCAGCATGAAGTCAATATAGACTTCTTAAAATAAAACATAAACTTGAGGAAAAAAAATATATGTTCTGGCATATAACTCCTCATAACTTTCTAATGAACCCAGTAAAAAACCAAATCTTCCAGCATCTGAATTCCCAGTACTGGAGCTACTATACTATTGATAGTTAGCATTAAGTTACAGTGAATTTAAAAGCCTCAGAGGCATGATATAAGCATACATTACAACAGAATTTGTCTAGCAAGTTCCAGCCTTGATAAGCTAACAATATACTGAGAAAGCCAGCAATGTAACTGCCAACAGTATACTTTTAAGGCACTTCTGTAAAGCACAGGACCATAATAGAAAAATACTTTAAAAGGAAACAAACCATTCCCACCATATGAAGATGTGCCCTCCCAAAAGATAACCTCATTGACGTGAGCCTTTTTAAAAGGCTAGATGAAGCAGGATAGAACACACAAACTGTATCTCTCTCCTAGAGTCTGTGCCTGTAAATCTGCAGATGAAATACTGGGGAAATGAAATGAGTCTCACTAAATTCATGCTGAAGAGTTTAAATGGTCAAGTTATATGCCTATTTTTATAGATATCCTATCTTTATATGTATGAACAGTCCTTTCTTCAACTAAGCTTTCCCACATGTGAAGTATTTCAGTTCAACAGCTATTGCAATAACTATGTTTTCTTTGAAATACCCTGAGCAAACTTCATATCGAGGCTTTTCTCTGCAGACATTGTATTTTTAATGGTATCAAGTTTTTGTAGATCTCACCGTAAAAAATGGTGAGATCTACTCAAAATGCAAGTTATGAACAACAACGAAAAAATTAAGACAACTGAAACATGTAGTTGAAAAGTTCATAAAAACAGCAAAAATATGACTATGGATGTATATTTTACTTAGAGGAAACCGGGGGGGGGGGGGGGGGGGGGAGAGAAGAAGAAATCTATACAGACTACCAGATCACTGCCTGCTGCTGTGATTGTTTATTTTCATGGGCTAGTTATGACTCACAGCAATAGGCTTGGCTTATGGAGATATGAATCCACAAGGCTGCCAATCCTAGGATTATGTGTGTATTTACAGGTAATCCATCCTCATATGTCCCTCCTACTTACCTACGTTTTAAGTATATGATGCTCTAAGTAGTCATCCTATCAGGAGAACACTTAAGCACATGAACACAGGATAATTCAGTGTGTCTTTAATACTTACAAGCCAGATCTTACAAAGCCAGTCAGGATTTCGCTACTCAAAGATGGAGCCAGAACATGAGACAAACCAGGCTCATCTGCAGCACATGATGGGACCCCATGATAGGTCCAGCCCGGGGAGGTACGTGCAAGCTCCACTGGAAGAAGCATTACCTTGCCAACGTAGATAGGTCCAATTAGTTCAGGCACAGGGCTGGCTTATTGGGTTTTTTAGTAGGCATTTTTGATTCACTGGAATAGTTTCCCACTGACTCCTAAAGAGCTGTGCATCCCAGCCAAGGTAGGGCTGAATAGGGTGCTGGATGGGAAGAAAGCAGGAAATTCTTACAATGGTATTTTCACCAAGAGATAGAGATACATGGAGACGTTCCTCAGAGGGGGTTTTAATACAACCTGGAACAAGACCCCACCTGCTTTGCTATTAAGGATTTATTCCTATCACTCCTATATACTGTTATTTCCACCTTCATAACACAGGCTGTACCGCTACAAGTATTTTGGTTCAGAGGGTGGCCCCACAATGTAATCCAGATTTTTAAGGAAAGATCCCCTATTGAGAAAGTGACTGGCAAACTTCAGAATAAGTTGGAAAATCTTTTTTGTCCTTTCCTCCTCAAAGCAATAGTTCTCACCCCATCCTTCATCTGTTTCTAATTTTGAGCTGAAGATGATCTTGGATGATCCAGAAAACTTGTCTATTTTTTTGGCTTCTTCTCTTCTAGTTCCTTCCATTGTTTTAATGTTATAATGAAAACAAAACAAAAAAACACCCCCCCAAAAAAAAGCTTTCCTCCAAGCTGCAGCTCACTTAGAGGTCTCTGAAGGGACTTAAGATGATATTGTACATCACTAGCAAGTAGTCACTAGTAGTGAAAATAAACAGTAGCTACCCTGTCTTACAGTGATCCTTTACTGAATGACACAAGGATACTGTCAGAAAGTTTGCTGTTGCAAGTTCTCAGTCCCACTTCTCCCTCACCCAACCAATGGTGTTAGCTAGCCACAGATATTCAGAAGTATTTTTTAATTTACATTAATTAATACCAAATGATTGCAATGTCTCTAGGCCCAGAGAATTTGGAATACAGCTGCCTGCAGCATTAAAGTAACTTACCGCATAGCTACAGTGTGAATAGTGCCAAAAGTTTACAGTGATAGGCCTTCAAAATCCCTTGCTTAGGAGCGAGCATTGCCTCCTCTAGTGAGCCATGGACACACAGACTTCACAACTCTACAAGGAAAAAAAAAAAAGAGTGCTTGCTGTCATATAATAATGCTTCAATAGCTACATGAATAGTTTTCTGTGTCTTAGACTATTTTACAATTGTCCATTGCAGATGGCACAAAATCCTCTAGGCTACACTCACTGCAGCAGGGAACCTCGCAGAAAGAGGCAGCCAGTCATCCGCTCCCAGCCTTGTATTGCAGACAATATGCTGAAGTCCGTATTAACCTCCTACTGCAGAACAACAGTGAAAGCCCTGGCATATCTGCTGTAGTTCCTGGTAGGCTTGCATCTTCGCAGATTGGCAGCCTGGGTTTAACATACTTTGTGTGTTTGCTCTTCTGTTTCCTGGAGCACATACTTAACTCTTATCTCCCTTGGATCCTCTGGGGACAGCGGCTGGAACAGTGCCTAAAGTTGGTGCGTCATCACCAATATCATTTATTTTCATTTCATAGGTGTGGAGACAGCCACAGGGGATCCATAAGTCTGTGCCTGGCTCCAGTGTTGTCTCTTTTGAGTGTAAATCTTATGTTGCCAAAAACTATGACGAGAGACCAATCTCACTCCTGTACCAGCCAACACACATATAATTTCACATTGATTGCCAACCCTGCCTGATCGGAAGTATTTTCAAGTCCTCCTATTTCTGCCAGAAATGGTTTTAAACAAGAGAAAAATCCTCAGTGACGATACAGGAAGACTGCTTCTTTAAGTTGAAGTAATTAAATTAACTCGTTTGCACTGACCTCTTTCCAGGAAAATCCAGCTCATTAAAAGTATTTCTCACAGGGGCCAGTTTTCAAAAACTGTATCTTGATAAGCATTAAATGTGAGCTCTGGCTAACCAAGGGCAGAGGAGTAGCTTCCACCGACCATGCACATATTGGAAAGCATTTACTGTCTTGAGAATTCATAGCCTAAAAGATACTGCCACAAACTGCAACATTTCTCCACAGGGATTTTAGTACAAGTCAAAGGTAACAACCATGTATGATGTTTTGATCATGTTTGGGAAAGTAGGATCAATCCCAGGGCACCCTGCAGTCTTACTAAAACTAACAGCTTCTTCAACAAGGAGGAGAACCTTATTTAGGTGGAAGGCGGCACTGCTGTACAACTGCATAGCCTTACATCTCAAACTGCATCTCAAGCCGCACTGAGAGTCAGCATTAACCAAAGAACACCCACCCCTTGCTTTCCCAAGAAAGAGCTTTGGAGTTTTATCGTCAATAGCAAACAGCATTGCTATGCATTTTAAGATTAGAATAGTGCAGTCCCCCCAGGGATATATACAAGGTCAGCAACCTGTTTATGCACTCTTAAGCACAAAAGTTCACGTGTATAAAGAGCTAAGGAAGAAAATCTTACAGCCAGCATATTCCACAAGAGCTTTCATCATCTTGCCCTAACAGGACTTTACACTCCAAGCCTATATCCTCCACAGTCCTGTCTTCCTTCCTTTACCTACCAGTCTTTCAACTAATGAGCAGCTTATCTATCAATTCACCACCTGCTAGCAATTTATGATCTGGCCACCACCCTCAGCTCATCGTCATATACATAATGAAGCACGAAAGAGTGGGATGTTACTGTGAATCCCTTGGAAAGGTCAGTCCTAAAGTGAGAGGCTTCCTGAAACAAGTAGCCTAACATTTAGGTGGGACAGCTGGAGCCACAGCTGTAACTGTTGAATGAAAAACAACTTTCAACTCAACAGCACTTTGGAAAAATCACAATCCCAGGAAGTGTTTTATACATGCACAGCAATATTTTCTTATAAAGACTTACTTGGTTTTTATTTATGTTTTTACTTAAGCTGAGTTCAGTTGTCATTTTTAGATGGCTCTAAATTCAACAGATATTTGTGATTACATTTGTTTGGGATTTGCAATCCAGAAGTATCAGCCCTATTTCCTACCTGTCTTTGTACACAACCCTTGTGGCACCTCTGTTTCTGGTAAGATAAGAAATCTGTAGCTGTATCCAGTGTGGAAAATATACTGGGACTACAGCTGAAAGATGTTTGTGAGGGATCTTTCATCTGCCTGGAAAAAGAAAATCCAACAAGCCTAAAACATGTCAGTGCTGATTCATAGGTGTCCTGGGTTCGGCAGTAGCAGTCATTATTCCCCTTTTTGGTGGCTGGTGCAGTGCGGTGTTTTGACTTTCAGCTTGGGAACAGAGCTGATAGTACTGTTTTGGTTTGGCCAAGGACTTTGTGAGCCTCATGCTCTGCCAGGGAGGAGGGGAAGCCAGGAGGAAGCAGAGACAGGACACCTGACCCAAACTGACCAAAGAGGTATTCCATACCACAGCACGTCATGCCCAGGATGTAACTGGGAGTTAGCCGGAAGGGCTGGGAGACTGCAGGGTTGGAGGAGGTATCGGTCAGAGCTTGGTCGAGCTGGGGGGGCGAGTTATCGGTTGGCTGGTGGTGAGATGATGTATTCTCTTCCCTTGTTATTTCCTTTATCATTATTATCACTGGTGGTAGCAGTAGTGATTTGTGTTATACCTTAGTTACTAAACTGTTCTTATCTCAACCCGTGGGAGTTGCATTCTTTTCGATTCTCCTCTCCGTCCCTCCGAGAGCAGGGGGAGGGCAAGAAAAGGGGGGGAAGTGAGCGAACGAGTTACCTGACTGGGTTTAAACCACGACAATAGGTCATACACAGCATATATGAGACTGGGTGCATGGTACTGCCTCTAAAGGCCCTTGACAAACCTTCAGAAAGTTTGGAAATAAGACTGCGATTTCTGAGCAGGCTTAAAAGGGACATAGCCCTCGCAGTGGGCATGTCTCTCATTCCCATGTTGCTCAGATCCTGCTTTTGCAGGCCAGCCTTTACCTGCTCTATGTGCCTTCGCCTGTTCCTCAGCCTCCAGTGAAGCTCTTGGATGGTGACCATGCGAGAGCTGCAAGACAGCCTGCTCCTCACGCACACTTCCAGTACATTGTCTGAAACAGCTGCTGAACATAAGCAGCTTCCCTATCCTTCCTCCGGATATTTGATGGTCCTCTAGCTAAATTGCCCAGCCTCACAGATTATCCCAGCTAAAACCTATGTCCACCTTCTCCTCCCCGCAGCTTCTCTTCCTTGTTTTAGGCTTGAAAATGAAATATAATCATACAAGACATGTAGCCTAGCTTCTTAATTATATCAGCAATGAAACCAGCTAATTATTAACAGCTCTACTTTTCTGAAAGGAGGTGGTCGAGGTGCAGTACCAGGCTAAGAAGTGGCTGTCCAAAGGAGATTTCTGTGTGTGTCTTGGTGCCCACATTGCCCTGCCTGGGTCCAAGTTAAGGAATTGTAAAAAGCCTTTGAAGCAGACTCAGCATGTCATCTGCATATGTTTGCAGCTGGTTTACTGTTAGCAAGGCCAGAGCAGATAAATAATTATGTGTATCTGACCTCTATTTGTTGACATTAGCTTTCTTTCTTGGAAACTCTCTTTGTACACTGTCCAACCCTTGTCTGGATGCTCATAGCATCTCTTCTTTCATATTCCTGAAAAGTGCCATGCCACAAATTTGCAGAAGACTTCCAGAAATGCTTCTAAGAAAAGCACAAGTTATTTGATCAGCTGTAATTCCCATCTCCCCTAGAAAGTCGGCATCAACTTCAGGTGAGCACAGGCTCCTGCACAGAGGGAGGATGACCACAGTGCAGCCAGAGGCAATTCCTTTTGTACATCCGCCTTCCCTTTAGTTACAAAGCACCCTCTGCAGCTGCTCAGCCTCTGCACTGTTCCTGCAGGTCACTTTGATTCCCTGCCGTATCTCACTGCTCACCAGGTCCAAAGCCACATAGGCATTTCTGTGCCTAATTTTAACTGAAGTGAAGGGGTGGTAGGTATCTAAATACTGCTAGCTCTGAGTCATTCAACAAGCCTTACCTCCCCCAGGCAGCCTTGCTCAAGGACAGCATGAAATAGCATTCAGGGTAGTAGGTAAGCTAAGATGCTGTCAGTTCATCTTTTTAAAAGCTCCATAAAAATATTCAGAGTATTCAGCCACCCACACTGGCTGAACTTATGAGTTTCTCCCACACTGTGTGGCCTTTGAATGCGTTCAGAGCTCCTTTTACCTGAGGATACTTTTACTTCTTATTCTTTAGATAAAAAGCACTGATGTCTGATCTTTGCATGAACAACATAGACCGTGGCAGGTAAAAATCTGTCCAGGTTAAAGAGAGCAAATAAAAAAGTCTTAGTTCTGACTCCACCATTCCACAAAATCTATATCAATGGCATTAAATATGTTCAGTGGCATTACTCCAGTTTATGACACTGAGAGACCCAGAAGCACTAGCATACAGAGATTTTATTATTATTTTCCATACCTAATTATCAAATAACATCTGACATTTCTAAAATTCAAAGATAATTAAAGTATAATTTTAAGATTTGCAGCTGTGTCTCGGGTAAGCTGGTGCAAGCAGATTCCTCACTTCTGCATTTTATAGTAACACAGGTCCAGCCAGTTTTGTATTTAGAATCAAATATAGTAGCCTTTTGTTTTTAAGATACATTTAAACAATATATCCAATCAAATTTAGAAAAGGAAAACAGAATAGGGCTATTTTTGCTAACCTTGCATTTTACAAAGTCTTGTCTCTATGAAATCTAAATTCTGTGACAAATTTTACTTTACACCTTGAATGTCACAATCTCTTGTAAAAGACAGAACCAAAACACAAACTTGCACTAAAAATTTTCAAGGATTTCACTTTAATTAATAAGTATATAAAATTCAGCAACATTTGTTTGCTTTGGAAAGCTATTCTGAAATGTTTAACACATCTACAGAAGCATCTACAGAATGGAGACAGGGGATGCTGCTTTACCAGTGCCAAGGTCTGTCACACTGCATATTAGAAGTCTGGATGAGAAAGAATTTTCTGAGTAATTCAAGTGCTGTGCAAATGAAGTTAGCAGTTTAGATACATTTATAAAAACAAAGGCTGGTAATTACAAAGCTAGAATGAGCTTGGACTGTGTTTACACTTGCCTTCTGGAAAGTAAAATGTAATCAGAGGAATTAAAAAAACTTAGCTTTCCAGATTTTCTCTTTTTCTGGGGTCTTGTCAGTTGTGGTTGTTTTCTTGTGGCAGGATAATGTGGAAGATTTCTGTGTCCTTATTCACTGGTGAGGTTTGATGAGACAGCTGGTGATACCCCATGCTAGAACAGCTGGGAATGGACATGTAGTGTTTCCGGACAGTACAATACAAGAAAGCAATCTGCGTCTATCAGCTATCAGTCACCTTCCTTTCAATTAGCTTCAGATGCATTGTCTAAATACATAGTGAGATATGAGCAATCCAGATTCCGCAGTCCTCAGGTAGAGCTTGACTGGTTTTGTTACTGCAATCCACTGAACTTTGAAAAGAGAAATTCCCAGCCATGCTCAGGAGCTTCTTTTTGTAGCACGTATCTGACAAATCAGCCTTAACACAGCGTGCATTTACAACCTTGCAGTTAAAGGCCTTAAACCTGCTGCTAAGACCTGATTTAATCGGATGGGTTTCTTTGAAGTAAGATTAACTAAATTTATACAGAAAGTGCTCATCCAGTCCTAAGCAGCCTTCCAGAGTCTCTGGGAATTCAGAAGTAAAAGGTATCTGGAGATGGTGATTCATCCATCCTCTTGGATACCTACCTTAGGGTGGGCGATGTGCCCTCTGTGCTGCTGATTCCTGGGGAGATAAGTGATTGGAGCCTTTGGTTTCTGACAGTTAAGACAAGCCCTATCTTTAGTTTCTACAGCTTTGCAGACTTTTCACTGCAGTGAAGAACAGAAGATAATCTGTAAAATACCAGACTGAAGGCCCTTCTAGCCCATACCCTGCTTCCCACCGTGGCTTAGAGTGGATGCCGAATGCAAACTCCCTGTAACACTCCCCTAGTTCCCAGCCATTTCAGGACAGGAACTTCTTGATGATGCTGTTGTTTCTACCTCTCTTTCATTAAATACTCCAGTCTTTCCCTGAACCCATATAAAACTTCAGCATACACACCATTCTTCAGAAAGGAGACCCACAGGTCAGCTGCCTGAGATGTTTTGTTTGGAACCCTACTATTTTATTAGCTTCATCTGAAGCCTCCTACCTCTTTTACTAAAAAAGAGTGAAAAATTAATCTACTCATTCTCTCCATGTCACTCAAGATGTTTTTGCAAATCCATCACCTCCTCCTCCATCATCTCCTTTCCAAATGAAAAAGTCCTAGCTTAGTCATCTGTCATACAGTCTTTCTGTAACTTTGATCATCTTTGTTGTCCATCCCTGAATCTTTTCCCGCTGCCCTGTAAATTTCTTCTGATGAAGGGATCAGGACTTTCTAAGCTAAGAACAGACAAGCTCACACCTGGCATCCCAAATTTGTTGCAGTGCTTCTAACTCAGGATCAAAACGCTTGTCAGTGCAGTGACAGGCTGCAGGCAGCAGCTGAAGAGCCTGAGCAGTGTTACAGAGACTGCATCCTCTGAAATAACTTGGG